CTCTCGCTGTCTGTCTCGCTCTCTCGCTGTCTGTCTCGCTCTCTCGCTGTCTCTGTCTCTCTCACCCTCTTCGTTCGGTCTCTCTCTCTCTTATACATATATTTGTAATTACATGCACTCACATATAGTCCATATCTCTCTCAGACCTGCTGGCCCTTGATCAGAGTAAGACGTTCTACAAGCCAGACTGGTTTGATATTGTTGGCACGGAGGTGAAGTGCTGTAAGGAGGCTGTCTGTGTGATAGACATGTCGTCCTTCACCAAGTTTGAGATCAGCGTGAGTTTTTCCCTGGAATCCTTAATTTATACTGCTTTTTCTTCTTGTTTGCTTTGTTTTGCCTCGCTGTCCCGCCCCAAACCCGCCGGCCTCGCTGTCCCGCCCCAAACCTGCCGGCCCCTAACCTGCCTTCGTTCTTGCTAACTCACCTGCTCTCTTCTAGTCTCCCGGGGACCAGGCTCTAGATATCCTGCAGTACCTTTTCTCCAATGACCTAGATGTCCCTGTTGGGCATATCGTTCACACAGGAATGCTGAATGAGAGGGGAGGATATGAGAATGACTGCAGCATAGTGAGGCTCAACAAGCGCTGGTATATACAGGGTTACTTTGCTGTATCTGTAAGCTTTGTCTGGCTGTCCTCTGTGTTATAGTAATCTCTCCTGCGATCTGCTGTCCTCTGTGTCGGGTGTTTGGCTGTCCTCTGTGCCGCTGTTTGTCCTGTCTGTGCCGCTGTTTGTTGTCTTCTGTGCCGCTGTTTGTTGTCTGGCTGTCCTCTGTGCCGCTGTTTGTTGTCTGGCTGTCCTCTGTGCCGCTGTTTGTTGTCTGGCTGTCCTCTGTGCCGCTGTTTGTTGTCTGGCTGCCCTCTGTGCCGCTTTGTGTTGTCTGGCTGTCCTCTGTGCCGCTTTGTGTTGTCTGGCTGTCCTCTGTGCCGCTCTGTCTTGTCTGGCTGTCCTCTGTGCCGCTCTGTCTTGTCTAGCCGTCCTCTGTGCCGCTCTGTGTTGTCTGGCCGTCCTCTGTGCCGCTCTGTGTTGTCTGACCGTCCTCTGTGCCGCTCTGTGTTGTCTGGCCGTCCTCTGTGCTGCTCTGTGTTGTCTGGCTGTCCTCTGTGCCGCTTTGTGTTGTCTGGCTGTCCTCTGTGCCGCTGTTGTTCTGGCTGACCTGTTTTGGGTTTTTTTGTCTGCAGTTTTTTCATGATCTCCCCGACGGATCAGCAGGTTCACTGTTGGTCATGGTTACGGCAGCACATGCCCAGTGACAGTGATTTGGTTCTAGAAGATGTAACCTGGAAATACACAGGTATCATGGTGTCTGTCATAAACCTGCATTCAGCCAGCACCTCACCTTCCAGCAGAGTATTAGCTGGGATTGCTACTTACACTGTGTAATATCTTTCTCTCTGCAGCGCTTAACTTGATTGGGCCTCGTTCTATGGATGTGCTGTCAGAGTTATCTTATGCTCCAATGACACCTGATCACTTCCCATCTATGTTTTGTAAGGTAGGTGTATTACAAACCTTAAATGTAAATACAGTTGCCCTATATTGGTCACCTCTGTGATCTGTGGGCTTTATAGTAATCCCCCCCCCCCACCCCTGCTGTCTGCGGGGTGTATAGTAATCTCCCTCCCCGTCTGCGGGGTGTATAGTAATCTCCCTCCCCCTCTGCTGTCTGCGGGATACTTCTTCAGGCTCCCTGCATTGTTATAGCTGTATTCTTGATTTGTCAGTGCAGACTTTGTATGTTTCTTGCTGTAGTTCCTGATAATTCTGATTCTCTGCAGGAGATGAGTGTGGGGTATGCCAATGGTATCCGAGTCATGAGTATGACGCACACAGGAGAACCTGGCTTCACCTTATACATTCCCATTGAGGTGAGTGACTGTTCCATCCAATAAGCAAAACATTACGTTGTCTCCTGTAGAGCCTGGGTCCTGCATCACTACTAAACAGTTTGGAGGCTGGGCTTTAGGCAATTTCAAACAACTTCACAGTAATGTGTGGCCCGGCACCAAAACCACTTCAAACAGCTGATGTGGTTATGTTGCCTTCATTATTCCTTTAAACCATTGTTTTTCAATCGCTCAGATTCACACACAACTACGAACACATACACCCAGATTCACACAAATGCACGGACGCTCACAGATGTAAATGGTTATTTTTGTTTTTTCAATAAAAGACCAGTAATGTAAAAAGAAATCTAAATATGATTCTAAAATTTAATTTTAGCCTCCTTCAAAATGTAAACACTATATTGATGTAGGAGGGTGACTTCCCTGGAGTCCAGTGATATACAGTCTATCTTTCCGCATAAGATCACATCCTCCCAGCGTTGCCATGGAGAAGGGAGTAGTCTCTCTGCATCCCATCCCCACACTGCCTACTAGGCAGAATTGTCCCCCTTATCGTAGTGTGCCAGAAATTCAGGTCAGGTTAGTATGTCCCTTTTAACAGCATTTGTTTGTTTTGTCCCTTAGTACGCACTACATGTTTACAATGAGCTGATTAGTGTGGGGCAGAAGTACGGCATTCGGAACGCAGGTTACTACGCCCTGAGAAGCCTACGCATTGAAAAGTTCTTTGCATTCTGGGGCCAGGACCTAGACGCTTTTACCACCCCCTTGGAGTGCGGGCGGGAATTTCGAGTAAAGCTTGACAAGGTATGGTGGAAGCTTTACCCAGTCTGTGTGTGATGACCTGTAGGGTTATTTCCCAGCGCAACTGACAATTTAGCACACTGCCTTAACCCTTCATGTACTGGTCAGATCTGTAATGTAGAGAGGCGGATTCATTGCTGTTGGTGTGTGATCGCTTATCCACCCAGTAAGTAAAGGGTTAACAGGTAGTTGTGAGTGCATGTTAAAGTTACATATGAAGTTAAAATTGGGAAATCTTGATCTGTTCTATGTCAAATTCCAGAAACCACACTAAGCTAATAGCTGGTTAATCAACTTATTTTATTTCTAATAAATTTTCTGGGTTGGTTCTGTTTCTTGAAGGGGAAACGTCACCATAGAAAATGGCGTGAAAGACAGAATGCTGGACACCTAGCTCAGACATTTCAGTTTGTGTCAGGATAACGTTGTATGAGCAAGGGTTAATCCAATATCCACAGCCCAGTGAGGAGTAACTTACTGATGTATAATGCACAGATTGTCAGGATAGATACTCGCTGCTGTTTTCTGTCTGTTGATTGGAATTGTTTCTGCAGGGATATGACTTCATTGGCCGGGACGCATTGCTACACCAGCGAGAGGAGGGAGTGTTCAAACGGTTCACAATGTTCATTCTTGAAGATCATGATACAGACCTAGATCTCTGGCCCTGGTGGGGGGAACCTATCTACCGCAATGGAGAACACGTTGGTAAGACCACCAGCAGTGCTTACAGCTACACGCTGGGCAGACATGTGTGCCTGGGCTTCATCCACAGCACCAAGCCTATAAACCCCGACTTCATCAATCGAGGAGAGTATCACATCGAGATTGCCGGCCAGAGGTTCCAAGCAAAAGCTAAATTGTACCCATTTAGTTCCTTGTTCACCCAGAGGCGCAGGAAGGAAGATCTGGAGGTGGGATACTAAGGACAATGTGGAGAGGAGTGGTAACAGGAGACTTGCGTGTGGACTTGAGAAGAGAATCTATGCTCCTTAAAGAATGACAAGGCGAGTGGGCGGAACGCCGCTGATTAACAGAGAAATTAGAAATTCTACCGATGTACCTGCTCAATCCTGCCGCATGGCACGGGTACCTGGAAGAATCAATCTATCTCCAGACCACCAAGAACTAGCGCAAACACCAGGGTCACCTCCTTTGGTTCGAGTTTAGGGGGTGTTGTATGAAAAGACAGAAGATTCACCCCAGTGTTTTAGTTCAAACCTGTTGCTTTAAGCACAAGAATCGTCAAAACAGAATTCAGTTTCTCAGTTATAGGTGATAGACTGCCCCTATTTTACACCATGTAACGATTTTACCATTAATGACACCCAACCTTTCTGCAAGCAATTGGCACAAACACAGCTGGAAATTAGGGCTTTCAGAGACGGTTCATTTATTTAAATGCACTTTATATTCCCATTTAGTGGAGGCTCTAATCATGTAATCTGCAGACAGGAAGCAGTGGGCCCCACTTTTTTTCCTGCAGATCAGTCGATGTTCAGGGGACAGTAATGGGGCAATGTGCTGATGGTGGGCTGTTTGGGGCAACCTTATTGTAGAGGTGATTAATACACTCCTGTTTATTCTGACTCCCAGTGCAGTATTACAGCTTTCAGGGCAATAAGGCATTTCAAGCATAGGAGAGAGGTGAGTGCCTTATTGCCGCTAACCTATACATCTTATAACAGGATTGTTTTATATGGTCATTTTTATTGTTACTGTAAATAAATAGCAATAAAATATGCGTATAAGCATGCTGCCTGTTACATAATATTACTCCAGATTCCACGTAACCTGCTGTGCAGTGTTCTGGCCATAAGTGCACCCGGCGTGTATTCCTGGGAGCCCAGAGCAGGAGCTGTGATCCTCCAAAGGGAAATTCAGACGAATATTCATGAAGTACAAAGATGGTTCAGGCACTCCAAGGTTCAGAAATGGCAAATTTATTTGTGAGCTTGACAAAGACCGCAAGGTCGAAACGTTGCTTTGGGTTTCAATAAATTTGCAATTTGTGAACCTTGGAGTGCCTGAACAATCTTTGTACTTCATGCTATTGCCATTGGAACCTGGTTCTTGGTCCTGCTTTGGTTGCACCTGGCTCAGATTGATGGGATTGAGTGCAGTTCCTTATGTTTGTTGAAAAGGACATTTTGACCTTGTCCAATGCATTTCACATGATTTGATTGAGGTGAATGTTTTCATGCTGCGGTTTGTGGGCAGTTAGGATTTAGTTTGATTTTGGGTTTTTTCTCCTGAAATTTTAGCTTGCAGATGCTGATTGTCTTTGGTGTTTTTATTTACTGGCCAGATTTCTAGCTTGGCCTAATCCCTCCCACTGTCCCCTTGATCCAACCAACAAGCTGCCCTTTGTCAAGGTGTCTGCACTGGATTCCACCAAATGCCCCTCCAGGCAGGCAGGCAGCCAGCCAGACATGTCCCAGTGTGAGCCTCAATAAACGATCCAGTCACAGCCCTGTATGTCCGAGAATAAAAAATCCAGTCATCACCGAGGTATTTCTTTCTCTTCCTCCAGTTAAAATGTACTTTCAAAGACTGTCTTCCATTGGGTTTGTATTTACGTCTGCCCGCAGTTGGCCTCCCTGTCTCTGGTAGAACTCCATAAACCACTATACATGGCTTTTTAGAAATCTTACAAGCATAAACAAGTTTATTTACCAGACTGAACTGTTTATTTAAAGCATAGCAAATCAGCAGTAAATATCCTTCTGCTCTGGATAGGAATTCCTGTCATTCACCCCAGTTTGGGCTAATCATTTAACCCTCTGCCGGGGACCCACCTCTCTAGCTCATGATATAGGGATTGCTTGGCTGTCATGCTTATCATTATCACCTGCCAGTGTAACCCCCTTTCCTCCCAGAGGAACATGTTCTTAGAAAGGGTACTGGGAAACGTAGACTGTGACAGTAAATATGTGTTTTCCCAGAATACCTTGGGGTGACATTTCCGACATTTCCACCTCCACCTGCAGTTCTGTAGGGCCAGTGATAGAGCGGTTTAGGACTAGTTCCCCGCGGTGTCTGCCGGCTTGGCGCACCTGCAGAAAACGCTGCCATTTTTCCTTTACAATGGAGAAGCGTTGGCTGCCTCCCAGCGAATGTGGAGCGGTCATGGTGAATAGGACTCTCGGCACAGAAAGCTGGGACTGCACCGCCAGGTAATGGAAAGAGATGGAGTGAGGGGCTTCCAGGCAATTGCTGTTTCCTACAGGGCAGGGGGTCCGCTCACACTGACTGTAGGGAGAGAGATACAAACAGCATGAAATGCCTGGACATGTGCTTCAACTTGCCACAGAGTGCTCGTTTTATGTAACTAAGCTGACATTCTGCATCACCGTACAAATCAGATAACCATGCTTTTCCTGCACAATAGAATGTTGGGAGATGAACAGGTGATCTGTCTGAATCAGCAAACTTTGAGTGTGAAATATTGTAATGTAATTACAACAGAGCCGTGTCCATGTAAAAAAACAAAACTGGTAATCCCATCTGATCCGTCTATATCTCGATTAGATGGAAATATTATTAATCTGTTAGATTACTGTTTAATACATTATCTATATGATAAGGTCATAGAATAAAAATGGTTACACCATGCACATGACTAGAAGTGGTCATGGTGCTTGAAGTCTGTATGGGCAGAGTTTTGGTTTCAAATGCTGCACTTACGGAGTTAAAGCACTTTTGTTACAGTTCTGGCAGCCGGGAACAAGAGTTGGTCTTTAAAGCCAAGTGTAAAATTCACACTGCTTTTTTTTTTTTTTTTAACAGGTTAATGGTTAATCCAAAATGACTGCAGACGTTGCATTTAGACACCAGATACCTTGGTTATATGACGATGAAAGTATATATTGCGGCAGGCTTGGCATCGATGGTACTTACTGGCCTGATGTTCTTACGTAGGTGACATTGGGTTTAGATTTGGGGCATTCTGGGTGGGCGCAGATATAACCACCGAACAAATTGACACAAAGGTCACTGCCAGGGCAAGCAGATTGGTCTGAGACACACTCGTCGATATCTAATAAAGAAGAATCCAGTTACTCTGAACCTTTCAAGAAACTTGTGGTGAAACTGGTTTAGAGTAAAGTAACAGCGAGGGAATAAAAACAGGAGTCTTACCTTGGCACCTGTTCTGCGCTGTGTCCAGAACGTAGCCCTGGGGACAAACACATCGGTAAGAGCCAGCAGTATTTACACATTCGTAAACACATATTTTGGACCCAGGCTTGCTTTGGAACACAGTACATTCATCCAGATCTGTGAAGGAAACCATAACAATGAGCACAAAGCTTACAATCCAATGCACACACACTAGACATAGAGTCCTTATATGGTCAGACTGCCCTACATCCCAGACCATACAGGGTGCTAAGCCAGCCACAGTCACCAAGTATGGCATGAGACCAATGGGACTGTGGTTCCCTGGGTAGTGTCAGCTGATCTGGGGATGTAGTTCTGTGGGTAATGCCAGCTGAGGCTGTGGTTCCCTGGGTAATGCCAGCTGTTCTTGGATCTACACATACACCGGATAATGCTCTCACCCTGGCACAGAGCTCCAGGCTGGATCAGGAAGCCTGGGTCGCAGGTACAGTGCTGAGTACCATAGTAAGAGGAACATTTTGCAGGACGTTGAAATGGGGACGATGTGTTTGTCACAGCTAGAAAAAGAACAGATAGTAACATGTCACACCTCTTCCTATTAACCAAATACACAGTACGGGAAGTCTGCACACCACCAGCACTACCTACCTGTACACACAGTCTGCACACCACCAGCACTACCTACCTGTACACACAGTCTGCACACCACCAGCACTACCTACCTGTACACACAGTCTGCACACCACCAGCACTACCTACCTGTACACACAGTCTGCACACTACCAGCACTACCTACCTGTACACACAGTCTGCACACCACCAGCACTACCTACCTGTACACACAGTCTGCACTACCTACCTGTACTAACTATCTGTAAACACAGTCTGCACACTACCAGCACTACCTATCTGTACACCGTGTCTGCACACCACCAGCACTACCTACCTGTACACAGTCTGCACACTAGCAGCACTACCTACCTGTACACACAGTCTGCACACTAGCAGCACTACCTACCTGTATACACAGTCTGCACACACCAGCATTACACTCCTGTACGCACAGTGTCTGCCCATTCAACATATATACCTGTACACACTGCACTCTGCCCGCTCCAGGTCTGGTTTTCCAGGCAGATCCTGGTTTCCGATCCAAGTAGTTGGTACCCTGGGTGACACAAAAAATGCATCTCGTGTCCTAATTTCATTCCTGCCCCCAGTTTTCGACCATGGCGAGGGGCTTTTAAAGGAGGACAGTTCTGTTCTGGAATAAAATGTACGTTATTGCAGGGGGATAAAATTTGGATTGTGGGAGGAACATATTCTGAGCATCATGAATTGTGGGTGGAATGCCCCCTGTACCATTGGAGCACTCCCATGATCTTTCAGGAAAAATTATGTATTTAACCCCGTAAGGACCAAACTTCTGGAATAAAAGGGAATCATGACATGTCACACATGTCATGTATCCTTAAGCGGTTAAGAAAGATCAAATTAAATGTAGAAATTCACACCACTTTATCCTGTAACTGGGCGCCTCCATCTTTGCTCGCCATCAGTCATTGTTACTGTGACGAAGTGCCCTTTGCCACTTGGTCCTGGAGAGGCCAGCTTGCCAGCCTCCTCCCATGTGACTATGACTCTTTCATGTATTTGGCTTTAAAGCCCCTATTCTACCTTCAGACAGACTATTTATGTAGGCTGCTTTATTTTTCTTATGTTTTAGTCACCCTGTACCCATTATAGGTGCAGGGTGTGTGTAATGTAATTGTTTATAGTGTGTGTGTGTTTGTACTGTGAAATG